AATTAAGTTTTTTATCCGACATCAATCTTTTGACGTCGTCCCTTACGCTTACTTACATCTTTTTTCCCCCACCAGCTCTGCATGCCAGTTTTCTTCAATGCATCGACCTCGATTACTGATAGCTGGGGAGCCTGGTCTGGGTCAAAGTTCACATCTAGCACCAGCTATACTACATCACCTGGAAAGGTTCCATGTGCATTGTTTAGATTTGCCGGCGCTGTACTCTGTGAATGTTACCTCTCCAGAAGAATCATGTGTTCAAGTAAGAATCACTGTCTTTATCACGAAATCCCACGAAAAACCTTAGTTTCATTCCTATTTTGTATTTATATACTGAACTCCTCCACTGACTATTGTGTAATCTTGAGAATGATTGAGACTGAACAGTTTGTACACGTTCCTCACAATTCTTGCAAATATTTCATACAGCAGTCCCTAATAGGGAATTAGCCAGGAATTTGAATGTGACTGTCAAAAAAAAAAACATTGAACAATTTTGCAAAATTAAAAAACATGTTAATTACCATACTCAATGGCATTAGCGGCCATGCCTGGTCAAGCGACCAACTTTTGTGCAATATTTATATTCGGGGTCACATTCGGCAAAGCGCCCACCCCTTCAAAATGCAACTAATTTAAAACTTGGTCTTTGATAATTGCTTAACGAATCTTGGTAGTCATTTTTATGTGAATATGTTTTGAATGCATAGACCACAGCATTCTGATTGGTTAATAACAGACTTTATCCATTAGGTCAAATGACACTGTTGCAGGTCAATTCATGCACAAGCATCATTGCGGAAAATGATTTTCATCAAGAGTTTGCGTACGATTCAACACATTTGTCAGTGGAGATAATGATAATGTATTCCAACAGACTTTAAAATTTTCTAATTTCGTAAATTCTGATGGTACGAAAATGTGCCATTTTTTGTGATCATTTCTGTTTCTTCATTGTAAAATCAATGAAGATGCAAGTAGTTTCCTAATTTGATTTTACCTCAAAGACGTAAAATCCCCCTCAATCTGTCACATGATGAATCAAAGTTTTCATTTGCACTCTTTTGCGTCGGGAGGGTGCCTTGCCCACCCCTAAAAAATCATGATTTTATGAGTTGAGGCCCGGGCGCTTACGTGGTCAAGTACGGTAATGCATTTACACTGGTCCCAAATACCAAAATAAACCTTAAGAAATGATCAAACTGACATCTTATTCACATAGCTACTACTGGTATGTATTTGTGAACGTGTATATATACTAAGTAATTTGTGAAGCAAAAGGTGCTACACCATCAATAGCAAAATTAAAAACCAGTGAATAATGAATGCATTTACAGTGTACTGGTCCTCAATATCCAAATAAAGCTCAAGAAATGATCAAACTGTGATGTCTGATTCATATAGCTATCATATCTTTACTAGGTGTTCCGTGAAGCAAGAGGTGCTACACCGTCTATTATATACATGCCTCATATCGGGCAGTGGTGGAATATTGTAAGTGATACACTCAGGGCTACTTTCTTAACGTTATTACAAGACCTACCTCCTTCATTGTCAATACTACTATTAGCTACAAGTGAACAACTACATATGCATCTTGACACTCAGGTAGGCTTATTTTATTACTTTTATCCACTTTAATTTTGAGTTGTATGAATATAGTAAAAGTTTGTAGCAGTGCGTATTTCAATGTGGTTCTTGCAGAAAGTCTTGGAAGTATTGGTGCTGCAATACTGTAAAACATGTCTTTTTAGCTAGCATGTCATTTTAGCTAATTTAGCTAATCTGTTTTTTCGCTAATTCAAGATGTAGCTAATTTTCACAGGGAGTTAATTGACACTTTAGCTAAA